ACTGGCTCTTCCACGTTCCCCCCGCATAGATTTCTTCTTGTAGGCCAGCTCAACCAACTCAGTGTCACCAAGAAAAGGTCCTAACCCTGAGCTGTCACCCCTCGATTTTATAGATCATGGGGCTACACTATCTTTACCTGGTCTTGGAACTGAAAAACTAGCTATGATAAAAATGTGAGCCTTTGGACCAGTTTTACTAAAACAAACTTGAGCATGGTGGGCTGCATATTGAATACCTGGGGCTCTAAACTCCCTAATACTTAAAAGTTTAATCACTGTCCTGTTTCTTGGTTCTTTAGCCTAACAGGAAGATAGGGATTTCCTGAGTCACAAATGATATAAAATGTATTTTGAAAGAAAAATGCAATAAAACCTCAAACTGTGGTGGGGGGCGGGAAGAGGAAAGCAATAGCAACAGTTGCAAATGCTACAGAGATGTCTGGTTGCATGAAGACTTTTAGATTATTCACTCCAGAAAGATTATTCATTCCATCTATGCTTCTATCTACTCAATTAGCCAGGCAGTGTTGTGCTGGAGATGTAGCAGTAAGCAAAACAGACAAAAGTTCCTGCTTTCATGGAGTTTATTTTTTAGTGAAGGGCAATCACCAGTCAATCAGGTAAGTAAATAAGTAGTGTGTCAGTTGAGGAATGGATCCCCTTACTGAGAAAATGACATTTGAATAAAGAAGTCCTGTGGGTAGAAAGCATTTGAGACAGAGGGAATAACCAGTGTAAAAGCCCTGAAGCAGGAGCACACCTGGAGTATTTTAGAAACAGCAAAGGACAGTGTGATAGGGCCGAGTGAGTGAAGATGAGGTGTAGGAGATGAAGTCCAAAGATAAGAGAGGTCAGGTCATGTAGGGCTCTGAAGGCCATGGAAAAGACTTCTGCTTTCAGTCTGAGTGAGAAGGAGCATTAAGAGAAGGTTTTGAGGAATGTCTCATTTTAACAGGCTCGTTCTGGCTGAGTAGACTGTAGAGAGTAAAGGTGAAAGTAGGGAGGAACCAGTTGGTAGATTATTGCAGTAATCCAGTGGAGCGATTATGATGTCTTTGACCAGCTGTGAGATTTGTAAGAAGCAGTTGGATTTGGGTTATATTTTGAAGGTAGAATCAATATGATCTGCTGAAGGATTGGATGTAGGGTTGAGGCAAAGAGTAAAGGATGATTTCAAGCTTTTTGAACTAAGCAACTATAAGGATGAAGTTGGAGATAGGGAATATGGGAGAAAGATCAAACCTGAGTATTGGACATATGTAATCTGAGATGCCTATTAGCTGTCCAGATGGAAATTTCAAGAGCACAATTGCGTATACAAGTCAGAAGTTCAGGAATGAGCTCTGGACTGGAAAGAGAAAATTGGGAGTCATGAACATGTACATGGTTTGTAAAGTCATGAAACTGGATGAGATTATTTAAAGAGTGAATGTCGATAGAAGATGCAAAAGGTTCACTCCTGAGCTGCCTTAATATGTACTGGTCAGGAAGATGAAGAACTCACAAAAAAGACTAAGGATGAAACAATGAAATAGGAAGAAAACTAGTTTATTTAATTTGGCAAATAGGATATTACTGGTGAACTTGCTAAGATTAGTGTCAGTAGAGTGGTGGGACGGTAAGCCAAAAAATCAATGGGGTGAACAGTAAATTGGAGATGAAGAAGCTGAAACAGTGATTATATTAATATACTACTTGTAAAATAGGTTTGGTGGCGAGCAGAAGCCAAAAAATGATGGGTCACTCAAGGATGATGTAGAATCAAGAAATGACTGTTTGCTTCTTGGAATGGGGGAGACAAACATTTTTATAGGCAGAAGGGACAAAAAATATGGTCTGGCTGAGGTGGAAAAGGACATTTCCAGAGCACCATTGTGCCTTGGTTTCGAATGATGGAAGAACATACTTTCCACCCAGGAACTGGAATGATGGAGTTACCATAATCTGAGATGAAGAAAGACTTCTGGGGGCTTTCCATCCACTCATACTTAAAGCAGAGGTTCTTTCTACTGAGGAAGTGGGAAAAGAAGTAAGGATTGATGAAAATATCAATGATTTTGAGGATGAAGAAAAAAGAATTTCATTTGTTTATTTAACAAACCTTTATTGACCACTGACTATGTCCTATGTGTGATTCTAGGTTCGAGAGATTTGGAGTGAGCGAAATCAATATATTTGATATTGCCCTAATGGGACTTACATTCTAGTAAGGAGTAGAGGAGTATGTGTCTGAAGGCTTCCTTCTGAGTGGAGGAGGCAGCTAGATTGCCCGCTGAGGGAGGGCTAGATGGGCTCAGATTGACTTCGGAGGAGAATAGTAATGGTTTGTATTAGTTGTTGAGGGACTTTATGAAAAGAGCCCAGGAGAGCCACATTTTTGTTCAGGTAACATGGTATGGACAATTTTATTTTCACTGCTCAACAGCCTAGAAAAAAGTATTAAAAAATAGATAGCCTGGTGGGACAGGATTGGGAATTGTGAAAATGAATATGGAGGCCTTATAGACCAATATCCATGTGATTTACATTTCATTTTATTCAATTATAATTCACAGTCTAAATAATATAATCCTAAAGAAA